TTTTTAATAATATTAATAATATGATGTTAAAATTTAATCAAATATTTGAAAATCAAAATAATTTTTTTGCTGAAACTAAAATACTCAAATTAAATAAAGAATTGGAAAAAATTATTTCAAATATTTTTTCTGATTCAATTTTTTGTCACGATTTTATTATTTCTAATGCCCTTTTAAATAATGAATTTTTTGAAAAATTTGATGAGATTTTTAAAAATTTTGAAATAAATTTTAATCAAATTAATGAAACAAATATATTTGAATTTCTTTGAAAAAATTTTATTCAAAATATTAATGATATTTATATATCTATTGCAGATTCTTTTTGGAAAGATTGTGAATACTTATATTCAAATAAGTTAAGAAAATTTAAAATTAGAATAGCAAAACAACAAATGTTTACTGAAGCCCAAAAAACTATAAAAATGGAAAATGTACCAAAACCTATATCAAGACAAATAGATACTTATCGCTTAATGGCTGAAATTTCAGGTTTACAAGATATAATTGATAAAATATTTTATATTAATTTTAAATTAATTTAAAATAATAATTTAATAACAAATAATTATCAAATAGGTCCATATCATCTTGTAGATCATAATAATACAATTTTGATATGAATAATTGATCTTGATAATAATCAAAAAATTTTTTTGGATATAGCAGATTTTTGTATTCAACGATACTGGTCACATACTTTAAATAATAGATCTCATTAATCAAAAGAATTTCGTGAAAAATTAGGTGAACATTTTGAAACATATAGATTATATTTTACAATATTTTATAATTCTAGAAATTACTTGGAAACTATTGAAAATTGTCAAGATTATTTATTGTTTGTATATTTTATATTTTATTATATATTAATAATTTACTAATTATATATTTTATTAGATGTATTGATCAGATACTAGATGGAATTAAGCCATTAGTCAATGAAGTTTTGGCTAATTTAATACAAAATTATTATTCAAAATGGTATTAAAAATCTATTTTTGTACAATATCCAAAAAAAATATTTTTAATTATATATATATATATATATATTTATTATATTTATTAATAATAATTAAATTTGACCTGTAGGTATATAGTATAGTGGTTAATACTTCATAGGTCAAATCACAAGATACCAGTTCAATCCCATATGAGAGTAGTTGAATAGAATTAATATGGTATCTGGTGCCATAACTTGTATAAGTACTGTTTTTCATGAGAAGCCGTTTCACACGCTGATCCAGCAGGTGTTAAGATTGTAATTTCCAGAAAAGGTATCATAGTACAATGATCATCTGGTTGGTATTACAATAATCGCTGGAAGTTGTAAGATGTATAAGATGTTTGCTTTCAATAAAGATGGCTTGGTGATCACTTCCTTGTAATATCTAGTGTCTCTTTCTGCAAGTTTCCAGAAAGGTCTTATTCCAATCCAGTAATAGATCGCTCTGACAGTTACCTATCCCAAGAAAGCAGCCAAAATAGCAGTAAGTACTGATAGCTGAAACAATCTATAGGCTGTAAATCTGTGAGATAAGTTCCTTGAATGTTCTTGGGTAGTTCTAGGAAGGTGAAAATTAAATAGTATGTTTATCTGCAGGTAGTCAGGTCTAGAAAGATTCTTTTTGTAGTAGTTCTATTTATCAAAAATAGGTACTACCCCCAGTTCCCCACATTCAAACTTCTCCTTAAAAACTTTACAGTGCCAAATAGAACATAACGATATAATAATAACACTAATGGAGCTTTGACATGTTAGCCTCAATACAATCCTTCTGGAGTGACGCTGACAGTAACAAGCTGATATGAAGTAAAATTGATATAGTCTAGCAATATGTAGAATTGTTTATAAATAGTAGTTCCTGTAATACATGAAATACATATGTAAATAAAATAATAAAGTACACTAGGTAAGGTTCAGCTGATTAAACTTAAAAATAATAATAATAATAATAATAATAATTAAATTTATTGCTTTTTTTTATTTTTTTAAAAAGATTAAAAAACTTTTTAAAGTTTTTATAATATTGGCAATTAATTATAATTGTATAACAAAATTCCATATCAATTTAAATGATAATGGATTGTATACTGTTGTTTCTGTAGATGAATGAGAAGGTGGATACTTAATTTTTCCATATTTGGATCTTAGATTAAAATTAGTTAAAGAGCAAGTAGTTATATTTAGATTTGATTTATTAATTCATGGTAATTCATCTGCTCAAGATATTCATTTTTCTATGGTTTTTTTTTCTCATAAAATGAAATAAAGTCAAGTTATGAAAAATTTTTGATTATTTTATTTTATTATTTTATATATTTTATTTTAATTTATTTTTTCTATTTTTGTTTCTATTTAAATATAAAATATAAAAAATTTAAAACCAGTTTTGATTTGAATCAAAACTGATCTAATCTGATCCAATCAGTTTATAAAATTTTAAAACTGATCTAATCCAATTTTTATCAGTTTAAAAATTTTAAAAACTAAACTGATTTGTAGATCAATCAGTTTTTGGTTTAAAACTTTGATCTTTAAGGCCATAGTTCCAGTTCTATACAACTTTACAAGATTATAAAAAACAGTCAATCTAGGTATAATAGTAATCTACTATATTTAGCAACTTTTCTTATTCTTATGATTTTTATATTGCTTAACATTTATGCTATTGTAATAGAATAAATAACTTAGTCTTATTTTATTTATTTTTATTGGATTATTTTATATTCTATTTTTAGCAATATCATTTATTTATTTATTTATAGCATATATAGTTATTTATAGTTTGTATAATATAGATCAGACAGCTCAGGAGACCTAAGTAGCCCACAAGGTTTAAAGAACTTACAAGACTATCTAATTTATGAAATTATAACATTGTGACATATAGATCAAGTAGCTTAGGTAACTTAAGCAGTCTAGGCAATTCATATAGAAAAATACTATATAAGTAACTGCTATTCATAAAATTGTTTAGTTAGTTTAGGATAACATACTTTTGTAATTACTTGAAATTCTGTTTTTAATATTTTATTAAATATCTTTATTTTATTAAATACATCTTGATTACAAAGATTCTTAAGAAATCTTTGACATTTCTTGAAATATTTATAAGAGATTATCTTTGGAACAATGGATAGTTCTATATAATCTTTAATTCCTTTTAAAAAGTATCATTCAGATATTCAACCAAAGCAATTTTAGTCACATTATATAAAAAAAAAAACCTACTAATAAAAAGTCACTGAAATTCTAATAGATAATTGGCAAACCAAGGGTACACAAGCATATCTATTTTAACTTGACTTTGATTCAAATTGATATAATTGTATAATTTTAAAATTTGTCTTGTCAGTTCAAAGACTTTTGTAACAAACTATATATGTATTTATAATTTCAATTTTATTTTTTATTTTTTAACTATTTTTTTAATTGCAAGTTGTTTAATTGTTTTATTAATTAATTGTTTTATGATTTTGTATTGTAATTAAAAATATATAAAATATATAAAGATAAAAAAAAACAAGGATAAACTGTTATTTGGTTTATTAATTTTTATTGTAAAAATAAAAAAAGCAATAAAAATTTTTTTAATTTTTTTTTTAATTAATTAATTAATATACTGTATATATTTTTTAAATAATATTGTTTTCTTTAAAAAAAATCAAATTATTACAATTATTATTTTTAAATATTTATTTTTCAAGATTTTATTTTATATAGATAAACAACAAATCAATTTAAATTTGAACTGTTATCATCTTAACTTTTGAATAGCACATGATTATATTGATGTTTGAAAATGCAATCGGAATATAAAACAGAATTAATTTATCAAGCAAGTTACTGTATATCAAAAAGTTTTTTTTTTATAATCATTAGAATATCAAAATGATATATTGCATATACTATATACTGTATCATATAAATTTAGATAAATTTTTATTCTATTTTTATGTAAAATGTAAAGCAAATAATGTATTAATCTAAATATAATAAAAATTTTTTAAAATAAAAATAAAATTATTTCAATATATTTTTTATAAAATACATATAATATAATATTTACAAATAATTTTTTATTATAATTTTATAGACTTTATTTTAACAAATATACAGTATACAATAAGACACTTGCAATAATTTTCATTTTTTTTAAAAAAAGCTTTTTATTTTAAATTGAGATCTATCAAAATTGGAATGATAAAAATTATCCAATAAACATCATATTCTTCATATACAATCAAGATACAAAATTGTTTCTTTTTTATAAATAAATGCTGATTTAAAATTTGAATATGCGGTATATTAGGAAATTAACTTTTTTTATAATTCACAGTCAAATGAATATGCATTATTTACTATCACCAACGAATATGTAGTGTGTTAGGACCTTGTGTGATTTAACTGTTCCCATTGACTCCGGTGTTTTCGATACAACATCATGCAAACTTGTGCGTCTTCAACCTAGGAGAAAAAAACCTGGTGAAAAATTTTTCACGGAAATTGACCAAGAATCAGGGGTCAATCGCTTACCGAAGAGTGACATCCTTCTTGAATTGTTATTCCAAGTTCCTCTTTTGCCAATCGTTTTAGGGATGGAGTTTTTCCTTTTGCTAATTTGCGAAATGGATTATACAGAGAGGTGTCGCGCATCATTTTTCGAGGGTGATCCAGGAGCAATACCTTTTGGACGATGTCAAACAATTAAAAATCAAATCTATCCTCATTCCTAGAAAAAGAATCGCGTAGGTAAAAAAGTAATAATACCCTAAAGTCGTGATGGAGAGCGTGACCTATGACTATTCGATCTTTTATTACGTCCGCCACCTCACGTTGAACTTGCTTGAATTCGTGGGCTACGTTAAAAATCGGAAAATTTTTCATCGGTAAATGCGCTAAATTTATTCAAAGGCATCTCGGAATGAACAAAAATCTCACATTTTGCAAGTAATTTTGGCGTGATTCCACTGATTTCGGACCTGAAATCGGTGACGCGTTCGACTGGGCGTACGTATTTATCCAGTATAACTACGCCATGATAATTCACCACAGTTACTCTGGCAAGGGCTGAACTTTCGCCGCCAGGTCCCACTCCAACCATCTCACAATCGATCGCAATGTATTTTCCAATTCTTATCGAGTAATTGAGAAGAGATGATTCATGAGTTATGGTTAAACGATCAGAAAAAAAAAGGAACTTACTTTGCTTTGTTGCCATGTGCTAATCTCTCCGAATTCACCGATCCATTCGAAGAATTCGAATCCACCTTACCATATGCTCTATCAAGATCATCTTCTTTAACATCAAACCAAATTTCATCCTTTTTAAACAAATTTTTATTTATCTCCTTTCCATTTGTTCCATTGGATGCCGTCTGCTGATAACTAAAGATATGCTGACGATTTAGATTTGCACAAATAAGTAATAAATCATGGAACAAAATTGGTAAGTTTCAATACCTCGATTTTATACTTTTGACGGGCTTCTGTGTTATCTCAACGCGTTTTCGCTTTTTATCTTTCGCTTTTTTTGCATCTTCCTGTGCAATTTTCTATAGCCCATGTTAAATTTATCATATTCTAATGAAATAAGATTCAGACATCTTGGGTACAAACATTTTTAAGCTTTTGCCAGTTTGAAGAAGGTATCGTGATAGAGGACATTCCGTTATTTGAAATGAAATAGGTTCAATTCGAAAATTTTTATAGGCGGTATTTTGATTGGTTAATTGAAAATGATATTGATTGGACGATTTTCGAAATTTGAACAGATTCGACTTCTTTCGTCGACAGGCTTTTATTTCACATACAATGGTAAAGGTCTTTTGGGAACTGTACGAATAGTTTCTTCCAAATGTTTTACCGCGACATCATCTGTCCTTTTCGATTTCACTTGCTTCACAGGAATTTGAAAAACCACAGCCAGTACGTTTTGCATACGACGACTCGGATTCTGAGTTTGAAGATCTAGAATCTGATAAAAAAATTGCAGCCCTTGATCCGCCAATTATACGCATATCCAACTTTAAAAAAACGTTAAAACTCAGTGTTAATCTCGTATTGATTGGAATTCACGGTGGAGGAAATTTATTCCTGGAATCAATTACCAATAAAAAAAAGCTGATCGGAACTATCTTGTTACCCGAAGTTGAATTGGTACCAACTTTTGAAGTTTAAAGTTAACATTATCCGCGCAAGTGATGATTTTTTTAATTGATTTCCCGAAAAGTGACTTTCACGACAAATATCTTGATTCACCAATTCAGACACAAAACACCTTGAACCAAGAAACCCATCCAAATCAAGGATGTTTTATTTATGAACTTGAGTCCAACCCTCGGACTTTAATAATTCCTTGCAATTATAAGACTAAGGACGAGAGATGCTTTACCTGGGTCAAATCCTTATTTGAACACATAGACCCAGAAAGGTAGATTTTTCAAATCTACAAAGTTGCGCATCTTTTTTCAGACATCAATTATTTATTATTAACATTTGACATCGTACATTCGCGCCCAAGAGTCTTCATATTCGACACCTTTAAGTCTTCTTTGTATATAGCTGGTGAAAACTATAGAGAAAACCGGTCATATCCTCCTTTCTGTCGCCTATTGCAATCGAGCGTTGCACCAAAATTGGTGAGGATGTCTGATCGAACGTTTCATACTATAACCTCTTGAGCTCTTGTTGAAATTGTATCCTGTTACTCTCCGTAGGATCATTCGATTCCTAAATATGAGCCGCCAAACTTAGTTTGTAATCTGTCAGCTGCGTTGTTGAGTCACGTAAGAAATTCTTTTTTCGGAACAAGTGTGTGTGGAATCTTAAATTAACATTTTTCAATTATACATATATCTATTTTTTACCTAATTATGCAAAGTGTGAAATACACAAAATTCCAGCCTATTTGTTATTGAGCTTACAAGATACATTTTTTGGTAAGACCGAATCAACTTCAGAAACGTTACAAGGGTTTCAGGAAGCTTTAGAAAATTTACAATCAAGTGAATTAGGACTCGATTTTAATTTTGACGCCATGTTTAATCAAAATTTGAAGAGAATTCAAAAGAATCTTTATATTTAACTGAAAAGTATTGTTGTGACAATTAGTGATTTACTTACAATTGTATGATTCAAGTTGCGGGTTTTGTTCAAATATTATCATATAATACATCAATGATACATTTTACTTACAAGGTCGGATTGGAGAATTGAATTTTTGCCTATTTTAGAATTACTAACAATCATTTTAACACTCACATTCCAAAACTGAATTGTGCGACATACGGGTACTCGTTTCATTTACTAAAATAGCTCAATAAGTAAACATTGAGTGGCCCGGGTAAGCCAGGTGCATTAGTTATTTTAACGGATTCACATAACAAAGAAGGCTGAAACCTGTTTTTAATTCATTCAGGTTACACCACGTTGCAACATGGAAGTTTGTCCTTATTGCCAAATGCCTTCCGTCACCTTGTTTCAAGCTGTTGCGTGTTGAACAACGATTCCCTTGGGCAAACAAGACTTTTTTATGCTAAATCGTCGATTGCAACAATTCCATTTTGAATATAAATATGACCTCCTTCCCTTTCGATTTAAGATTATTGTTATTGGCAATGCACGTTTTTTTTTTTTCTCTTCTCTTAAAAAATCAATAGAAACTCTATATTTCATTCCATAGAATTTTATATAATACACAGCCGGCTGTGAACATTTTTATTACGTATACATACATCCATACATTCATATATTCATACATTCATACATCCATTTACTCTTACATATTCTCTAATCTCAGCAGGGCTGTTACCTTAGCTATACAATGAAAATGTTTAATCCGTCTGTAGACAGCATTCCGGATCTTGTCTTGAAAAAAGATGCCAATAACAATAAGAACGGAGCTGACGCTGATGAATCAGAAAAAAAGACATTCTTTTATGATAATGTATTACGAGCTTTTAAAAAGAACCCCATTATCTGGGTATCAATGTTCTTCATTTTCCTTTCAACTTTATTCCTTCTCATCCTGTTGATTGGCGGTACCGGCGCTATTTATCTATCAAAATTCACTTTCGATGATCCCATAAAATTCATTACGAAAAAGAACGAAATAAGTTTTACCTTATACGGATACTGCGTCGATGATCAATGTTCCCAGCCTTCGATGACCCATAATTTTGATGAGAGTAGGTTCTTTTTTTTTTTTATTCCACGTTTTCCCGAAAACTTAATTTCTAACTGTCATTAATTAAATATTCCTATTATGGTTAGTTCCTTCGCCTGCGGAGATCACCAACGGTTCGTCTATCATTAATCTAAAAAGATTTGATCCCAGCGATGTCGGAACCACCATTGAACATGCTGGATCTACCGTTGGATCCACGGTCGAGGATGCCGGAAAAAACACTGTCAATGAAGGAAAAAAAATTGCCGAAGAAGCCCCCGGCTTATTAAAATCATTATTAGATGGGTTTGCTAATTTCAAGCCGAAAACACCGACCGTTGGTCTCTCCGGATTTTTTTCCCTCCCATACCTATTTGCTATGATGTTTAACCTAATAGCTCTATTCTTTTTGTACTTCCAACTCAATTTCCTCGCCGTTATATTACTTTCGACTTCAACTTTTCTTAACTTCATTGCCTTACTCTTTGACCTGCTTCTATTTGTTTGGATATTTGAGCTCATTGCCATCATACCTGGCATTGGAAGTCAACACACAGGTCCTGGAATCCATCTGGCTGGCTGGAGTGTCATCTTCTTAATTATCGCAAACATATTACTGTGTTGCAGATTTGGTGGTAATGCCGTCAGTGGTATCACCAAAAAATTTAAAAAATCAAGGGTTGTCGATGAAAATGAAAACAAACAACCTTCCAATTGGGTATAATTTATTATGCGAATGGTTAGGTTTTGTAAATTTTCTTTTGAGAAGGAAATCTGTTTCATCTTTGTACATTTTAATTCTACGGAATTGTATTATGATAATATAGAGTTTTTATTAAATGATATTCCAATTGTATTGGAAACAAACCTAATTACAATTTTATTGTTTCTCATGTGAAATTGAATAATGAGGATTTATCAAAGAAACCGTCTACCGTAATCTATCGAGACAATCACATATTTGGACCAATAAATGTCCTGTTCCTAAAACTACACCTATGCGAAACTTGACTAATAAATAGAATTCATGTCTTCCGTTTCGTACTATCCAGGTGACCGTTTATGTTTGGCTCTTACCCTATTCTGCTATGATGACTTCTAAAAAACCTTCTTAACCCTTGTTTGACGAACCTTGATATGTTGGGTCTTCAAATAATATATATTGTCAATATAAGGTCTAACTGTAAATGTTTCGAGTCTGAATATAGAAATATCATTCATTACCTTGACTTGGATACAGAAAACCGGGAGGATTTTCACCAGGAGGTGCCGGAATTTCTAAGGACTCCAATGGAGGTAGAATAAGGCCTTGAGGTGCCATAGTCGCCTGCACCTCGGTTTTAGGTCCCGTAGGTCTTGGTCGACCCCATGCTATCTTCAATTCATGTCCTTTGATGTTTAAGTTATTGTGAGATCTATCTATGGCTTGTTCAGCCGACGCTCTTGTCGCGTAATTTATGAATGCGCATTTCGACTTGTGAACCACCACAACCGATTTTATCTCTCCAAAAGCATAAAAATGTCCCCTTCAAATATATATATATATATATATACATTTTTAAGAATTTGCATCAATCCAATAATGAAGAAATATTTGTGTTCCTTGTATCATCTATACCTTAAATCTGTCTCGCCGATATCCTCTTCAACTCCGGTCAAAAACAAAGATGTCTGACAAAATTTTCGAATTATCAACGTTAACTTAAATGTACATTACAAAATAATGGAAAAATAATTAAAATGAAAACACACTATAGATTTATCTTCCGGTGGTGTAATATTTGAATTTCCACCACCTTTTACGCGATTCAATATTTTTTTGGCCACCGGATCATTTGTACCGTAGTAACGATCTTTGATATTCTGGTGTGACAATTCGTTTTCTTCTGGTATCTCGTGCCTTAAGAAATATCAGTTTGTTATCACGCAATTACGTTATTCAATAACCAACAATAAATAACTACCTGTAAGGACATTCATCACCACGCGTGCAAGTTCCTTTAACAAAAAAAGAACAGATATGTGGTCGATTACGCTTATAATATGGTTCTGTCCTTGCAAGCTTTTTCAGCATCTCGCGACCAGACGAATCGGCCTTTCCATAGCTTATGAAACTATCCCCATCAGCAATCTATCATAAATTATTTATAAGCTTTGCTTTCTAAAAAATAAAAAGAGAAAAAGAAACTCCGAAAAGCACTGACCTTTCCTTCAATGTTTTGGGCAAAATATTCTCTATTGATTTCTGATCGTGGCGCCTCATTGGTAATATTGAGTGCAGTGTCACGAACTTGGACGGGGAGATTGTATTGCAAATCCAAGAGGCATGTTTGACAAACGTTCTTTAATTTTGCACAAGTCTGACAAATCTCCGTTTTCTTATAACGCATTCCGGCTCCGGGGAGCCATCTAAAGATAGTGAATGGTCGGGAGCAAACCTAATCGACGATATATTAGATTAACCGTAAGATCCTGAAGAAAACAAACCTGTTTTATTCAATAAAATATACCTTGCACTCTTTCCCAAAGCCCTGCTTCGTCTAAAGAGGAGAAAAGAATTATAGACTTTTTTTTAAAGGAAACGAGTTAAGTCAAAAAAAAAAAAGGGTAACGAACCATTCGAATATAAGGGTTATCCCCCAGGCAAGTCTCGCAAAGAATAGGAAAGTCCTTTAAGATAATACAATATGTGTTTATTATGTTATCTTGAGAATGTATTTCTTGTGTCTGCCTTTGATACATACGGATTCTTCCCATCCTTGTTTGTTTGGATCTGCTTTGGTCGCCATTTTCTGAAGTTGAGTGAAGTTGGTTTCAGTCGAGCATGCACACTTTTGAATGGATCACATGACTGCTTAGAAAATAAATATGTAATATCATATCAGTTAAGGGACATTTCCCTCCCGTTGTTGTTACACACAATATAAATTGTATTATAAAAATAACATTTTGAGTCTTGATTAAGGGAAATGTCCCGTGACTAATATACAGTATTTTGTTTTAATAATTGAGAGAAAAATCCCTGAAATAAATATGATATATAATCTTTAAATATTATTTTAAAATTTTTTATTAATCAAACTTGGATTTACTTTTTTTTTAAATAATTTTTTTTTTTTACTTTTAATCAGGTTTTATATTACTTATGTCTATTAATCTTTATAAAAAGGATTTTAATATAAATATTACAAGAATATATACAGTATATTACAATTAGAGTTTCTAATGGTATTATTTTAATATTAAATCAGTATTGGATTTATTATAAATTGATACCATTTTCAAAATTTTAATTACAACTAAACTTATTAATATTATGCTACATATTTATTAATAATTAAAGATTTTTATATATAAAAAACTTATTTTTTTTAAAAAAAATTATTTTTAATTAATCAAAATTATTAATATTGTGGTAGAATAAATAACTTAGTCTTATTTTTACTTATTTTTATTGAATTATTATTAGTTTATTTTTAGCAGTAGCATTTATTATTTTAT